TGGGTCAGGAAGGCCACTGAGGTTCCACAGAGGTGGACACCCTGAGCTGCAGGACACTTACTATCCCTAGGGAAGTCATTTGTATTTTTACATTGTGAGCCCCTTATCCATCTCACTCTCTGAGATTTCCATGAAAGTCTACGAATTTCAGAATGTTCATGCTTCAAGTGGTAAGGGGTTTTGTGAAAGAGAGAGATGTGTACATATACAGAGAGAGGAATTGGAGACAAAGAATTTGTAGAAATCTTGGGGGGGATGTTATGAATTTCCACAGGCCATGGTTTTGGGGGTCTACTAAGGGGAGGCCTTGTGTGACTTCAAGGTTGCACTAACATTTCAGTAGCCTTGACACACTGAGGATAGGATCCACCCACACACAGTAAAGGGGAGAGAATCTAGTTCCCTTATGGTTACTGTAATAGCATACAAACATTCAAGGGTGTAAGTATCCAATGTCCTTGGACACAGACTTTGCTTTCCTGATATGGGAGCCAGGCTTTTCCTAGGATGCATTTATTTCATCAAGTTTCATCTCAAAATATCTGGGGAAAACATTTGGTTCTTATAGTAAAGAACAGTTGTGAAACAGTCACCTTGTCAAGTCGGTATACTAGAATGAAGGCCATATCCATAAAGATAAGAGGCAAAATCTGTTCTGTTTTGTTCAAATTCCACACTCCAGGGGCGCCTGGGTGGCTCAGTCGGTTAAACAGCTGCCTTGGGCTCAGGTCATGATCTCAGGGTCCTGGGATCGAGTTCTGCGTTGGGCTCCCCGCACCACCTGCTCATGCACTCGCGCTCTCTCTCCCTCTCTCTCTCTCTCAAATAAATAAATAAATAAAATCTTTAAAAAAAATTCCACACTCCCCTTCTGGCCCAGTTATCTGGGTAATGGCAGGTGCTGCCCTGGGTGATCTCATTCTCCCACTTCATGTGTCTGCTTACAAACGTGTCACCTTTCATATATAGGGATGATGTCACTGGCTCAGCCTTGAAGGAACTGAGCGCCTCCTCATTCTTCCAACTCTAGGGCTTGGCTGGCGCTGCTCCACCTATTCCCGGCTGCATAGTCCACAGGTGTGTGAGGCGGGGGAGCTGGCTGTAGACATGAGGAAGAGGTCTCATGGGCTGGGTTCTCTTGGCACTGCCCTGGCTCCTACAGAGCTACCTGACCTTTCACTGTCCATCCTTCAGAAAAACCAAAGCCATCTGTTTTCTCCTATCTTGTGTCTCTGCATCCCACATTTTCCTGGGAAAGTTTCCAGGAGTTTGAGCTCGCAGAGCTTGTCATTAGCTCTGGGGCTTCAGAAACAAAGGCTTGCTGGGACTCATGTCCGGAGAACCGTATGTGCTGGGGAGTGTTTGGGGCAGGAAGTGCAAACTGGCCAAAACGGAGAGGATTTCAGGATAGCAGTGTTACATTTATGGAGTAGTGGATTTGTGTCGGGCGCTAAGACCCTATGCCTGTCTCGTTGCTTGTCACAGCGACGACAGGTAAGAGTAGTATTCCCATGCCCCAATGGGATATGAGGCAGAGAGACGGGTCCATAACGTACTCAAGGCCATTTTGCTAATTCTGTCAAGTTTGTATGACCCCAAACCTTATGCTCTTAATTGTGCTATCCCTTTTTTCTTGGATTTGGGGGTACCAAATCTTCTGTCACTTCCTTCAAATCCTAGTGGGAAGAAAGGGGGTTCCCACACCCCATTATTTTACAATGTGAGCTCTTCTTAACGTTGGGGACCCCGGGTCTCTGGTGCTGTTCTGGGTACCTGGGTTAGGACAAGCTGGCATGAGAAGCTGTTCCTGCTTGGGGTTGGGGAACGTGGACAGTGGTCCAGCCTCTGGCCAGTTTTTAAGATCTCGTGAGGGACCTGGAGGAGAACTGGCCCCAGAGAGCCTTTATGAGGTTTGCCCTTGACCCTCCCCAGGACCCTGGTGGGGTAGCAAATAGAGATACAAATGGCCAGTTAAATAATTTATAGTGTAAGTATGCCTATGCAATATTTGGGATATACTTATAATCAAGAATTGTTCTTTATCTGAAATTCAGATTCAACTGGGTGACCAGTATTTCATCTGGCAACCCTAGACCCAGGGTCCCCCAGGGCTAGTCCAAGCAGCTGTGGATGGTGACAGGCGTCAGAAAACTCCAATCTCTAAGCCAGACCTGAGGCTGTCTGAGGCTGCCCAGATCTTCCCTGGTGGCCTGGTCAGAGTTGTACGGAGAGCATCCCTAGAGGGAGCTTGAGCACTGGGGTGCCAAGGAAGTGCCTCCTGGTGTTGTGAGAATGGAGGGGTTTACGGCAAAATAAAATGGTAGGCAAAGTCGGTGAGCCAGGGATTTTGTTCGCTAGGACCATCATAATAAAACACCACACCGTGTGGCTTAGCCATCAGAAATTTATTTTCTCACAATTCCGCAGTCCGAGAGTCCAAGATCAAAGCTTTGGCACGTTTGGTTTCTTCTGAGACCTTTTTCCTTGGCTTGTAGATTGGCCACTTTGCCCTGTGTCTTCACACGGTCTTCCTTCTGCGTCGGTGTCCTGTTCTTCTTATAAGGTCACCAGTCATATTGGATTAGGGTCACCCTTAGGACCTTGTTTTAACTAAATTACCTCCTTGGGGCCCATCTTCACATTCTGAGCTTCTAGGGGTTAGGACTTCAAGATAGGATGTTTCAGGGGACACAGTTTAGTCCATAACGGCCAGAAAAAGATTCAGGAAGCACGTGAATTGGTTTGTGCAGGTGAATGGCTCTGTCATGGTGCCTGGGGGACCCTGTATGCATCCACATAGGCCACATGAGCCAGGTTTGAATGACAGCTGCATCTAAGTCTTGACAGAACCCTCGGTAATCGTCCCAATACAGGAGGGCATGGGGGGCTTGTGAGGAGCTGCCAGAGCACATCCTCCTTGCCTCCTAGCTGCCCGGGAGGCTGTTCCTAGACAGTTCCACATCACCTCTCAGCTTCTGATGATGCGTGAGGCTGTCTGCCCTTGCTTCCCCCCGGCCCCCACCAGGGCACAGATGCTCACTGGACACGAGCTGCAGCAGCCTCAGTAACAGGGTGTCCCACCACTGCTGTTCAAGTCATCAGGATTGACCTTGGACTTGACTTTCTGGCACGGGAGGCAGGAAGCTCACCTGGCCAGAATGAAAGGAGGAGGCAACCATGGAAGACCCGGGAAGGAGCAAATAAAACAAAGTTGTTCTGAAAAGGGAATGGCTGGTGGGGGTGGGCTCTATGCAGTCATGCAGAGGGGAGGGAGCAAACAAAGTCCACTGTTAGGATATGCTCAGGGGACATGGGAACCGAAAGGCTTCTGCCCAGATGACTGTGAACTTATAAAGTTGCTAGAAATAAGGACTGGACAGCTGTGTGTGTGTGTGGGGAGGGGGTTTCCTCCTGTTTTGTGCATGCAGAGTCTACACAAACATTAAATGCTGACCCTTACCTTTTGGCTGTGGACATTTGGGACGATGGGTGTACTAGAAGAAGGGACACTGAACTGCTAAAGTGAGTAGGTGAATGCTCAACAGCAGTATGGTCATTTCATATCCTGGGGCTCAAAGAACCTGGGGTTCAAATCATTTTCCTTAACTTAAAAGCTATGTTATCCCAGATGAAGGATTTTTACCTCTTTAGGCTTTACTTGTCTCAATCAGCACAATGGGAATATGCACTTAGGAAACACTTCACTTGAGTTGTCATTAGGATTGCATAATAATAATTTACTCATGTGCACTTACTATGTGCCTAGTGTGTACTAAATGCTTTATATATATTATCTCATTTAATTCACACAACACCCTCCCAGAAGTAGGATTGCTATTACCTCAATTTTACAGATGGGTAAGGGGAGGCACTGAGAGGTTAAGTAACTTGCCCAAAGTTAAAGCTGGTAAATGTTGGAGCCAGAATTCAGACTCAGGCAGACTTATTCCAGAGCTTGCTCACTTGTGGGTGGGCTACCAAAAACAACCACAACAAACAACAAACAAAAACAGCCAAACAAACAAAGAAACCCCAAAACAACAAAACGAGAAAAATATACAGAATGTTAGGTGGAGCGCTTAGTACATAATAAGCACAAGATGAGCTAGCTATTATTATTTAAACGTGTCCTTACTTGAATTTGAGAAATTGACAAGTGCAAAAAATTGTATAAAGCAGGAAAAAGATGCTTTCTTTTCTTTTTCTTCTTTTAAAAAAGATTTTATTTATTTATTTGAGATAGAGCACAAGCAGGGGGAGCTGGAGAGGGAGAAGCAGACGCCCTGCTGAGTAGAAAGCCTGGGATCACGACCCTAGCCAAAAGCAGACGCCCAACCGCCTGAGCCAGGCAGGCGCCCCAAAAGATGTTTTCTTTGTTGTATTTGTGTTTTTCGATTTTTCCACAAAAAATCTTACGTTTGCAATCAGAAAAAAATACTGGAAAAAACATCAGTCATCATCCCACAAGGAAGAGGGCAGATGAAGAATATCAGATTTTGAGGTCTTTCCTGAAACTCTGGTTCCCCGCTGGTGGAAAATTACAGAACCCCTAAGACCAGTCCCCCCAAATGATCAGCCTCCGGGGCAACACAGGCCTGGGGCTGACATCCAAGCTGGGATGCAGTGGGGGGAGGGGGGTCGCGCACATGCTTAATGTGGGAGTCAAGGGGGCCCGGATGGACCCCGGGCACATCCTAGATCCCTTCCTGCCTGTCCGAGGCCAGTCCGGGGATCACCCAACAGAGACTCGGGCCGACTGACCCCCTTCGCAGCTCGAGGGCTCATGTGGGCCACCGGCACGTCCCCGGGCGCCCAGGGTGGACCACGCGCTCGGCCGTGCGGGGGGCATTGTGGGGTCAGCGTTCGGGTCTCCCCGGCGACCGGAGCCCGAGCGCAGGCCGCGGCGACCCCCGGGAGGCGGCGGAGAGGACCCCTTGGCCGAGAGGGGGCCCGTGTGTGTGCGGAGGCCGCGTCCGAGCGGCGGGAGGGGGCCGGCCGGCATGGCGGAGGCGCGGCCCGGCGGCCCCCGGCGCGGCGGCGCGCAGCACGGGCTGCCGGAGGGCACGGCGCGCCTGAAGCGCGGGGACGCGGGCGACGGCGGCGCGGGCTGCTGGTGCTGGCGGCGGCTGTTCCGGCGGGGCGCGGGCCGCGGCTGGCGCAGGAGGAAGGCCAAGCACGCGCGGGGCAGGGCGGCCCCGGAGCGCGGCCTGTGGGCCCACCCGCGCCTGCAGAGGCTGCTGCAGCGGCTGGCGGCGTGGAGGCGGCGCTACCTGCGGCGCGGGGAGCGGCCCGAGAGGCTCGAGGAGATCCCGCTGCTGGTGCTGGAGCGCGCGCCGAGCGGCGACTAGGCCCCAAACTAGGCCGCGGGCGGCCGCCGGGCCCCGGGGCCCCGGCCGCCCCCGGGCGCCCAGAGCATCGGTTTGGTTTTGTTGGACAAAGGCAGGAAAGGAGAATAAACCCGACGCCCTGTGAACGAAAGACCGCGCGCGGGCTCTTTGGGGCTAAGCGTCTGAGGCCGGGCGTCCCTCGCGCGGGTTTTCAGGGACCGAAAGGGCTCCGTCCGTCCTCCCGCTGTCTCCCGGCCGCAGGGCCTCAGGCCCCGAGGCGGTGGGAAGCCAGGGTGGGGCAGGCAGGGGCCCCGTACCCCACTGGAGCCTCGTCCCCTCTAGGGGCCTCGCACCCCCTGGGGCCCTACCCCCTCCCAGCACCCCCCCAGCTCCTCTGGGGCCCCGCCCCGCCCCCCTCCCCGCGGCTCCTTCCGGGCGGACACCCCGGGGGGGGGGGGGTAGTGAGAGCGGCAGTGGCCATCAGTCTGTGCCTTGCCCTCCGGGATTAAAAATAAGTTTGTTTAAGCGGGTTGCTGAGCTCTTCACCCCACTTCGAAGTGCTCCAACTCTCCTTCGTTTGTTTACAGGCATTTGTGAGCTCCCATAAACCAACCAGGATTTGGGGTTTGCATGCAGGGAATTTGAAAACCAGCGTTGGAGATAAAAGAGCACAGGGCGAGGGACTCCTGGGTGGGTCTTTAATTTCTGCCTGTGCCTCATCAATAAAAGCCAGCTAATGATACTCTCCACAGGCTTGTGAGGATGATAGTAAGTAAAATACTAGAAGCGAAAGTTCTCGGAGCACTCTCTGAAAAGAGCAAACGCGGTCAGGGTACTTATTAAACTGTTAGGCTTGCCTCTCCTGGGGGCTATTCCCAGACCACTGTCTATACCTGCGGCCCTCCCCCCACCCTCACCCCAAACTGCCCTTTCAACTAGCAAGCCAGGAACACCCCGCAATGGGCCTGGAAGCTCTGCGCTTGATGCTGAAGTGGCCGTCAGGGAAGCTCCTGATCCCTCCCGGGGTCTCCCGGTGCCCTTGACCTAGAAAGTCAGTCTCTGCGGAAGGGAGTGCGAGGACCACCACCCCTGTCCAGTGCACTGCAGTGAGAGATCGGTGGGCAGGCCTGAGAAGGGCAGAGAAAACCAGGCATGGGCCAGAAAGCTGGGGACAGGACTCTGTAATTGAGGTTAGGTGCATTTTGATCTACTAAGCTCTTCATTCCTGCCATTGCCCTGACTGCTTAAATTATTCCGTAGGGCTGTGATGGGGGATGCGTTTTCACCAGGAAAGCCATTAAGCTGCATAGACAGCCTCCCTACCTACAGGGAAACCAATCCTGCTGGCTTGTCTCTAGCTGGTTAGACGGGGGATCCCAAGATGCCTGAATTAAAAGCTGTTCTGTAGGAAGCAGCCCAATGAAATCTTCCTTGCTTGGAGAGGTTCAAGGTGAGAGACTAAAAAAGGAGAAGCTCAGGCGCCTGGGTGGCTCAGTAGGTTAAGCATTTGCCTTCGGCTCAGGTCATGATCCCAGAGTCCTGGGCTGGAGCCCCGCATCAGGCTCCCTGCTCAGTGCAGAGTCTGCTTCTCCCTCCACCCCCTGCTCGTGCTCTCTCTCTCGCTCACTCTCTCAAATAAATAAAACCTTAAAAAAATAAAAAAGGAGAAACCCCTCGAAGAATATACCAAATCACTGAATCCTCAGACACCGGAATGGTGGTGCTGTTGCATAATATGTAAGCAATTCCAACTACGTCATGTTTCCTGGGTTTCTTTCAGAAAAGCAAGAGCCAAACTAATGCAAAGTGAATTCTGTCTGACCCCTAATTTGAATGTGGCTGTGCCTTTTTGTTTTGACTGACCGTCCACTGCCTCCACAATACTTCCTCCTCAGGAGGCGAAGGAAATTGGTCTAGCCTGTGCTGGGGTCCTGGGGCGCTCATCTCTACTCTCACGCAGGTCAGCTCTGTGGACCAGCACATGGCGCAACGTCAGTGTTTCAGTTAGAGAATCTCTGTGGTGGTTTAATGGGCGTCCGTCCTCTGTCTTCCTAGTTGGGCTCCTAGGTATCCCCCCAGAGCCACATGTTTTTGGTAATGCTGCCTGCCTGCGATTGGCGCCTCCTGGCCGTGGGCTATCATGGATCCCTCCCAGGCCAAGAGAACGGTAGCTTTTATTAGATTTGCTGGGCTGTGGGTAGGTATCTCCTGTCAAAGACCAGATTCAGCAGAAACAATGGCCTTTGGGTGCACACGCTCCCTCGGGTTTGCGAGGGGGTAACTGCCGGTGGACACCCCATTAGACACCCCACCCCCACTGCTCAGGAACCTGACAGTATTTCATGGTGACTATTTGTACTTCTGCTCTTCTGGGGCTGGAGTCCGACCAGCATGTGACTCGTTCCTCCTCTTACATCCATCCCCCTCCGAGCAGGAAGCCAATAACAAGAAATGCAGTTTTTCATTAGTCGGCCATTTTGAGTGGTTTTCTGGTGCAACCCCCAACCCCTCCGTGAGTCCCTGGAGAAGGACATCAGCCTCCTGAGCAGTCCCACACTCTGAGCTCTGGGCGGTGGCTGCCAGCAAAGAGGGCAGCTCGTGGTGGGAGTGGGGTCTAAGGGGGATGACCCACCGTGCTTGGGGTTCTTCTTGGAAAAGAGAGTTCCAGATGGTGAATTGTTTTATCCTCTGAAAGAGAAGGGGAGGGGCGCTGTACATTTGGGTCACCACTGATGAGCCCAAGAGGAGGAGCCTCAGCTCTGTGAATAGGTCAATGTGCTCAGTGTTCCAGAAGCTTCATGCTGCCAATGCTCCAAGGAATGTATATAGATAGGGCTAGGCATGCCCGCCAAGGGAGAGCGGTAAGATTTAAGATGCCCCCCATCCCGGTCTGATTTACACGGGTTCAGGTAGATCTTACTTTGTCTTTATACAACATTATATTTCTGACAACCACTACATGACTTGAATCATTTCTAAAAGTTATTTTTAAATGTGGTAAAATAAACATAACATTTACCATCTTAACTCTTTTTAAGTGTACAGTTCAGTGGTAGTATGCACATTCACATTATCGTGCAGCCATCAACATCATCCATGTCCAGAACTCTTTCCATTTTGCAAAAGTGAAATTCTGTGCCCATTAAACAATGACCTTCCCTGCCCCCTCCCCCCAAAACCTTGGCAACACTGTTCTGCTTTTCATCTCTATGAATTTGACTCTATCATATAAATGGAATCATGCACTAGTTGTCCTTTCATGACTGGCTTATTTTTTTAATTAAATGTTAATTTTAATTTTAGTTAACATAACAGTGTTATATTAATTTTAGGTGAACAATATAGTGATTCAACACTTCCATACATCACCCAGGTGCTCATTACAACAGGTGCACTCCTTAATCCCCACCACCTGTTTCTCCCAGCCCCCACCCACCTCCCCTCTGGTGACCCATCAGTGTGTTCGCTAGAGTTCAGAGCTTGTTTCTCCGTTTCTCTCTCTCTTTTTCCTCCCCTTAGCTTGTCAGTTTTGTTCCTTAAATTCCACATATGAGTGGAATCATATGGTACTTGCCTTTCTCTGACTGATTTATTTCTCTTAGCATAATATCCTCTAGCTCCATCCACGTCATTGCAAATGGCAAGATTTCATTCTCTTTTATGGCTGAATAATATTCCATTATCATGATATATATATATCACGTCTTCATCCATTTATCAATCGATGGACACTTGGGCTGCTTCTGTATCTTAGCTATTGTAAATAATGCTGCTATAAACATTGGGGTGCATGTATCCCTTTGAATTAGTGTTCTTGTATTCTTTGGATAAATACCCAGTAGTAAAATTGCTGTATCATAGGGTAGTTCTATTTTTAACTTTTTGAGGAACCTCAAATTGTTTTCCACAGTGACTTCGAGGGGTTCATTCCCACCAACAGTGCATGAGGATTCCTATTTCTCCTGTTTTTCAACATCCTCACTAACACCTCTTGTTTCTTCTGTTGTTGATTTTAGCCAATGTGACAGGTATGAAGCGAAATCTCATTGTAGTCTTGATTTGCATTTCCCTGATGGTGAGTGATGATGAGCACCTTTTTTATTTTTATTTTTTATTTATTTATTTGAGAGAGAGAGAATGAGAGACAGAGAGCACGAGAGGGAAGAGGGCAGAGGGTGAAGCAGACTCCCCGCCGAGCAGGGAGCCCGATGCGGGACTCGATCCCGGGACTCCAGGATCATGACCTGAGCCGAAGGTCATGACCTGAGCTTAACCAACTGAGCCACCCAGGCGCCCCTGATGAGCACCTTTTGAAGTGTCTGTTGGCCATCTGTATGTTTTCTTTGGAGAAATGTTGGTTTGTGTCTTTTAATTGGATTAAAATAAATTTTTAATTGGATTGTTTTTTGGGTGTTGAGGTTATAAGTTCTTCATATATTTTGAATACTAACCATTTATCAGATATGTCTTTTGCAAATCTCTTCTCCCATTCCATAGGTTGCCTTTTAGTTTTGTTGATTACTTCCCTCGCTGTGCAAAAGTTTTATTTTGAGGTAGCCCCAATAGTTTATTTTTGCTTTTGTTTCCCTTGCCTCAGGAGACATATCTAGAAAAATGTTGCTACGGCCCATGTCAGAGACATTACTGCCTGTGCTCTCTTCTAGGATCTTATGGTTTCATGTCTCACATTTAGGTCTTTCATCCATTTTGAATTTATTCTTATGCATGGTGTAAGAAAGTGGTCCAATTTCATTTTTTTGCATGTAGCTGGCCAGTTTTCTTAACACCCGTTTATTGAAGAGACTTTTTCCCATTGGATGTTCTTTCCTCCTTTGTCAAAGACAAATTGGCCATATACTTGTGGGTTTATTTCTGGGTTTTCTGTTCTTTTCCATAGATCTATGTGTCTATTTTTGTGCCATTACCATATTGTCTTGAACACTACAGCTTTGTAATATAGCTTGAAGTCCAGAATTGTGAGCCTCCTTACTTCTCTTTTTCAAGATTACTTTGGCTATTCG